TTACAGCCTGGCAGCCTGGGCAAGTGGCTTCTCTCTTGGGACTCGGTTTCCTGGCCTGCCATGGGCACATTTGTCTTAGAGCTCTTGGGACAGGCAGTCATGCCAGTGGTTGCAGCCCCTGCTTGTCAGGAGGAGGATGGCGGCCGGGGAGTCGTGGACGTGCTGCACTTTCTGCCCCACCCCAGCCAGTCTGAGGCAGAGTCTGCAGGCTCATCCCTGTCCCAGACACAGGGCCCAGTCCCCCCAGCCATGCTGTGGTTCTGCCGCCTGGGCCAGGGCCGGGGCTGGGGCGGGGCCTGCCATGTGGCACCAGCGGCAGGGCCTGGGAGGGAGGGGGGCCAGCTAAAGGCCTGCTGGGCTTTGTGTCCACCTGCTCCTGGTTGAGCATGGTCTCCAGCGGGCCGGGACCTCTGACCATTCAGCATAGCCCTGTCTGGGGCTGGGGCAGCTGGGAGTACCCTCCCCTCCCAGGAGGCCGAGGGGAGACCGGGCTGAGTGTGGTCACAGCCCTGCCGGGGCAGAGGACAGAGCCACCATCATACAGGGCGGGCAGGGGCACAAGCGCCTGACCGGGTGACAAAGGAGCAGTCCCTTCTTCCGGAGGACACTCAGGACTTGGGAGTCTGCAGGGTCCTTCCCCGGCCTGGTGGCTTAGGGAGGCGTGTGAAGGCTTTCCCGAAGGACGCCGTGCTTTGCTGCCAAGGCCTGCCAGGCTGCGGGCTCCCCCACCCCTGCTCAGAACCAGTGGTGCCCACTGGCCCAGCCCCCCTCCTCCCCAGCAGGGGTGGGGCTGACGCAGCCAGGCCACAGTACCTGGACTCACGAGTAGGCGCCGCCCTCCGCTCTGCCAGCGCCAGGTCCCCAGAGGGCCACCCTGGAAGTGGGGGTCCCCTCAGCACTCCACCAGGAGGTACTCAGCCTTCTTTGCCCTCCCCACCGCCCGACCCTCTCCACAGATGGAGGCCACATCTACTTTCTCAGCCTCCTGGGAGTGGAGGGAGCTCACTGGGGTATGAGACCCCGTCCTCCTTGGCTGTGCAGGCACAGGTGTGCAAATTCCCTGCCCTTGCTGTTCTGGGAGGGGGTGACATTCACTGGCACCGTGCTGTGGGGCTGCAGGTGTGGCATGCGGTGTGGCCAGGCTCAGGGGCACGCCCCTGGGTGGCACTGAGGACTCAGGTGGCTCTGTCCTTGCCAAGGGGAAGGGGCCGTAGCAGGTCACAACCTTGAGGCATGGTGCCCTCGCCGACTGGGGCCTGCACTGCGAGGGGTGGGGGCACAGGGAGCCCAGCCAGGGAGGGGACTGTGCCGAAGGGGCGGCCGAGGGCTCACAGGACCCCGGACAGCGGGCATCAGTGGGGATGTCTCAGGACCGCACCCACCATCCGTTCTCAGCCTTACCTGGGAGCCCGGGCCACTTGGTGGTTCTACTGGGCAGGGGCTTCTCGGCCTCACGCATGTAGTAGCCATCCATGGAGCCCCGGGAGGTCTCTAAGCCTGACACATTGTCCAGCCCCAGGGTGGGGCTCAGGAGCCCTGAAAGTGCCAGATGAGCCCAAGTGCACCGTGCACCCACCGTGCTGGGGTGGGAGCAGTCACTTCCCTAAGGAAACAGGTGCTATGAGGAGGGCTGTGGTGCCGCACAGCCCACTCGCCAGCTCCCGGGAGCCACCAGAGCTTGCTCTATTTCTGCTGGAGCGTCTAGAGCTCACTGTAGGGTGGGGGACCATGGCCCAGCATGTCCTGGGGTCATAGGGAGCCACAGCCCTCACCCTCAGTGCCTGGATCAGCAGCCCCTACCTCCTCCCGGGGCTGCAAGTGCAGGGCCCAGACCGCCTCGGCATCCGAGCTCCCCTGCTCTGGGGCCGGCCTCGGGGCCGTGGAGTACAGGTGTCTTCCCGACACAAGCTGGTTCTTGTGAGGCCCGGCCCGTGCACCTCAGTCTAGGTCGTGCACCGCCTGCTCCAGGACCCGACCCACCGCCCCACTGAGGTGCGTGTGCTTTGGCAGCCGTCGTGGGCCAAGAAGAGAGCCTCCTGCTCCGTGTGGGTGAAGGCTCGAGCTAGCAGGGGCCTCACGCGTGTCCTCTCCGGGTGGGGTCTGGGCAGGACTGCAGCAGGCAGAGGAGGGAGGGCACCGGCAAGTCGCAATGTGTGTGTGTAAGCATGCGTGTCTCCATGGGCCTGGGCTCTGAGAATGAGGTGGGTCGAGCCTCACCAGTCCGGTGCTCTGTGGCCACAGGTCCCTGCTGCAGCAGGGACACTGCTGGCTCCTTCCTCTCCAGCCAGCTCAGGGACGCCATGGCCCTCTGGGCCAAGCCCACATGCACCCCATGCTCTCTGTCTGCAGTGAGCGTGTGCTGGGCGCCCTGCCCAAGAGGCAGCGTTCCCTGTAGGACTCTCGAGCTGGAGCTGTTCCTGCGAGTGCTCAGGACCCGGGTGCTCTGGGACCTGCCGTCGGAGGGAAGAGTCCTGGCCTGTCACTCTCGGCAGTTTCTAGCCTGCTGGCCTGAGGGCTGTCCTGGCATGTGCCAGCTCGCAGGGGCAGGCTGCTGTGGGTTCAGGAGGCCACAGGAGGGCCAGTCCCGATGCAGCAAAGGTCGGCAGGGCCCCGCATAGCCCCACACCAGCTGGGCCCTGGTTCCGCTTCCGTGTGGGTCAGGCCTTCTCTGCTCGGGAACCAGTTGGGCCTGAGTGCCGCTGCGTGGGCAGGAAGCCCGCCTGGCCACACAGGTCCCCAGGTGGCATGTCTGTGCCGCCCCAGCCTCAGCACCTGTCGCCTCGCACCACATGCTGTGTCCCGACCAGGTCCCTGTGCTGCGCTCTTCCCTGGTGCCCTGTTGGCAGCGTGGGGCGTGGTCGCCTCTGCCTACCTCGGCATGCTGACCTGCTAGAGACCATCCCCAGCCCACCACTGGTGCCGTTGCAGTCCATCCCCCCAACTCCGGCCAGTAAGGAAGGGCAGGGCTGTGGCGAGGCCCCACCCCTCTCCTGCCGGCTCTCAGCCTATCTCCTGGACCGCGATGTCCTTGTTCTCACAGGACTGACGTCCTCCCTCGTCTCGGGCCGGGCCTTGGTGTTGCTCACTACCTCACACAGACCCGGCTCAGGAACTCGGTAGCAGTGGGTGGAGGGACCACAGGCCCAGGGTGGCACGGGGTAGGGGGGGCACCTGTCCTCCCAGGGCAGACAGGGCATCCCCGGCCTGCACAGCCAGTTGGCAGGATCTGAGCAGCTGAGAAGCAGGCGGGGCCAAAGCAGCTAGCGTGTGCTGGCACTGAGACAGAGGTGGGGACTAGCCATCTGTCTCTGGCTGGGCGTTGCCCAGGAAATGGGGGCATCAGAGCTCAAAGCAGCCATCCAGTCTCACCACTGCCCATCTCCTGGTGCCTCCGGTTAGCAGAAAGGTGAGCCAGGGGTCTCCCACAGGCCTGCTGTGCAGCTTGGAGAACGTGGCCTTCCGCGTGGGCACCAGCTCAGCACCCGCTGTGTGCTTCCGCCCCTCCCCACGATGTCCTTGTGCAGCGCGGGACCTGCACAGCTGTGCCTGGGCCTGGAGCCAGCCTCTGCTGTCCCTGCTGCTCCCCCATCAGCGAGTGTGGGCTCAGGACGGGAGAGCTGCTGATGGACGGCAGGGCTGTGGGCCTCCACCCCAGCTGCACAGAACCCCTGGAGGGCCCGGTGGCTCCCAGGACGGACCAGGTCCCAGGCAATGCTGGCCCTGCTGGCCCAGGGAGCCCACTGTAGAAACCCTGGGGTAGATGTGGGCACTGAGGGCTGATAGGACCTGTGACTGCCCCTCGGGGCCACGGCGGCCCTGCAGTGTGTCCTCTGTCTTCGGGCAGGCCCTCCCAGTGTGGGTGGGAGGAGTCCAGCCGGGACAGCGATGGTGCCTGATGTGCCAGGCTACATCTGAGCCCCACGGTGCTATGAGGGGCTCTGGGGTGCGCCCTTCCCAGAGGACGAACCTGAGGCTCACGAAGGCCAGTCTCTGCAGCCGGGCCGGGGCTCCTTGCAGGCGTGGCCTCATGTGGCTTTCACACCTGGCCTCTGGGTAAGTGCTGGCTGCTCGGTCATCGGGATGTCCGTCGTATCATTTGGACCTCAGGGACTCGGGCTCCAGGGAGCAGGGCTGTGGCCAGGGCTACAGAAAGGTAGCTTGAAGCCAGCACCCAGCCACGCGACCAGTCCTGGGACGGGCGTCCTGCGCAGGGCGTGCCGAGACACCTGTATGTGGAGGGCTTTGGTTACACCCGGGGTCAGCCCGGGTCCTCGGAGTGCAGGTGTGAGGTTCCTCCACCTGAAAGACAGACTGCGTGCAGGACCTGGGTCCAGGCTGCCCGGGCTTGCACCCCTGCCTGCTCACTAAGCCTCTGGGCCTCGCAGCCTCTCGTCCGTGAAGCAGGAGCAGCAGCTTCTGCTCAGGCCTGGAGCGAGTCGGCACGTCGGCACTTGCAGAGCCTCAGGACGGGGCTGGAGCACGGGCCCAGCTGGCGCTAGTTGAAGCCACGGGGTGTCTGTCAGCCCCTTTAGCCAATGACAGGACTGAGGCCCCGAGAGCTGAGTAGGGCCCAGGGCACAGCCTGGAGTGGCAGGTCTGACCCCGGCCCCGCTACCCTCCTGGGGTTGCCACATGAGCACAGCCAGGGCACGTGCCTGTGGCAGAGGGCCACCGTCGTCGGGGCTGGGGAGAGGACCAGAGCCCCGCCTGCCGTCAGGACGCTGTCAGAATCACAGCTCAGTGTCCCTGTGAGCTGTCTGCCCCAGGGCATCCTGGTGGAGCGTGCATTCGGACATGTGGGTGGCCAGCCCAGGGGCCTCCAGCCCTGCAGAGCTCTGTCCCGCCATCTGCAAACCCCGGGCCCTGCTCCCACTGCATGTCACACCAGATGAGACTGGGGCGGTTTGGGGTGCGGCGGCTCGGATCGGGGTGCTGGGAGGCCCCCGTGCGAACAGAGCCAGATGTGTACCTGAGACCCTCTCTCCTGTCCCCACATGAAGGTCGCTGTGTCCACGGGGGGCGATCGGAACAGTGATGACGACAGCGTGCGCGAGGCCTCCAGCTCCCAGCGCAGCGTCTCTCGGGACCCGCTGAGCGACGTGAGTAGCTGCCCCGGGAGGCCCGTGTTAGGGCTCATGGTTCGCCTTTGTCAAAGCACAGCTGTCTGCTCAGGGCCTCCCACCAGGTGGGGTGCAGAGGCTGATGGTTCTGTGTGCAGCTGTCCAGCAGCCACCACTGTGGGGCAAGGGTGGGTGACGGAGCTCCAGCAGTGCTGGGGATGTGCCTGCAGGGTGCTCTTGGTACCTCCCAGGAGACCCGCTATCCAGTGGTCGGCTGTCCTGGGTGTCCGTAGGCCCCAGAGCCCGCGTCTGTTGGCCTAGCTCTGAGGCCTCTGTGGGACTGAAGGTCTGGGCAGAGACAGGGTGACCTAAGTCAGGGGTTGTCAGCATCCTCAGGAGGGTCCTCAGGCCCAGGGTTCAGCTGAGAGGCTTCGGAGCCTAGAGGGGGCAGAACTGAGCAGGAGGGCTTCACGGTTGGATGTGACCAGGGGACAGGACTGGCCCTGCCAGGGCCCCTGGCTCTTCCACATCAAAGCCACAGGCTCAGTGGACAGAGGGCCTGGCCTAAGGTTGGCCGGTCAACTGGCAGCCCACAGGCCCAGCTCCTCTTGTGGAGCCGCTGGGTGGCTGAAGATGGTCTGAACACAGTCGGGAGCCAGGCTCGTGACCCCACTCAAGGAAGGTACCAGTGCCCAGGGAGAGGGCAGGGATGGTTTGGGGAAGAGGAAGGGGCACAGGTCAGCCCTCAACTGGTCCAGGGACCCACTCTCTTGGCCACCCACTCCTGGCCCCCTTAGCTGCCCCCCACGAGACCTGGACCACCCACCTGTCCCCAGCTGCTCTGATATGCTGTGTAGCAGCAACGCCCCTGCCTGTCCAGATGGCCCCAGGGGGCCCCAAACATGCTCCCAGGCCCTCCCTGCCCTGCAGGAGTTGCCTCTATGTCCCAGACCCCCTGCAGGGACCCCTTCTTTGAAGGTTCTAGGGGGACTGTCCTCTGTCCTCTACGAAGCCTTTCTTGACCAGCCAGGCCACCTTCCCTAGGTCTTCCCCTGCTAGGGAGATGAGCAGAGAGCTCACAGAGGCCTGGGCCCCACACTCTGTCCACTCAGCTGGCCATGGCCCTGGCCAGGGCACCTCTGTGGGGGCGGCCTCTGCTGGATTGGACCCTTCTCCCCAAAACTGGCTGGGCCAAAGGAGGACTTGCTGGTCCTGGGGAAGGTCCCAGAGGCGTCTCAGATGGCAGGACCAGGGCCATAGCACCCAGCTCAGGCCTCTCTGTGGCCCCTGCATTCGGGCAGGGTTGGGGCCCCTGGGGATGGGAGCCTTTGCTGCTCAGGGCTGGGCGGCGGCTCGAGGGGCAGGTGGGCGCTCGGGCAGGATGGCGGGGGGCTGGCTCCTCTCTGACTGTCCCCCTTCCTCCCACAGAGCTCCACACAAGCCGTATCCGGGACCCATGCACCCTGCCCCGCTGACTGGTTCTGCCCACGCCACAGCGGGGGGTCTCCGTGGGGCCCCACGTGCTGCCCACTACAGCGGCTGGCTCTGTGCTGTGGTCTCCATCACCGCTGCACCTACATCACAGGGAGCCCCGCCAGACACCAGGACCTGGGGCGAGTCACTGCCCTGTCGCCCTGTGTGAGCTGTCCTCCAGCGCCGTGCCCGACTCCCTCGGCCCTCTGAGAGGCAGGGCTCGGGGCTCGGCTGGTGCTGCGTGGTTTAGCTGGCGAGACGGCACTTTCCAGCAGGCTGTCGTGGCCACGGGAGCACCTGCAGAGACAGTGGTCCCCTGGAGGTCCCCGGCCCCCCAGCCACACAGCCACCCCGGTCCTAGACACGGGCGCAGCAGGGGCTGCTGCTCTCGGTGGCTGTGGGCAGGGCTGGCAATGACCGGAAGAGCCAGCCCTGCGTGCAGGCCACAGGCCACAGTGGTGGGCCCAGGCTTTGCGAGGGCCCAGCTAGGCCCTCGGGGTGGGTGGTGCGCTGGGCTGAGGGCTGGGGTGGAGGGCTGGGGTGTTGGTGGGGCCCCCGGGTAGAGAGGGGATTCAGTTCCAGATGGAGCTGCCATTCAGGCCCAGCCCAGCCTGCTTCCCTCCTGGTGCGACTCCTTTCTGACCTCGATGTCCGAGTCCACCCGGTTCTGGGCCAGGCCCTGTGGCAGAACACCCATAGTCAACCCCGGGTAGGAGACAGGTCCCTCCTGCAGCCTGCGTCCCACTGCAGAACTGTCTTCTACGCAAGGCAAGGCCGTGCAGAGCGCTCCTGCAGAATTCTGTGGGCCCTGGTGCCCTGCCAGGGACCCTGCAGCACCAGGTGGTACAGGCTCTGGCTCATGCGCTGAGATCGGTCCTGGCATGCTGGGGTGGCACCCTCACCTGGTGTGGGTTGGCCTGCCTAGCCATCAGGGTCTCAGCGCCGTGTAAGGGTGAGCGGCAGTGTGGGCACACCATGAAGCAGGCTCGGGAAGGCCCGGCAGCACCCAGTCGGGCAGATCTCTGATGGGCTGCCCAGTGTGGGGCGAGCCGGGCTCTGCCGTGCCTTTGGGCATCCATGTTGTAAAAGCAGGATGAGCTGCATGAGCAAGAGCAGTGTTCTCCGGGACCTCGCGTGATTAGTCAGGAGCGATAGCGCCCTGTGGGGTCCGCCTGGCATGAGGCTCGGGCCGCAGCTCCAAAGCTGGGACCTGAGCTCAGACCCATGCATGCGATCACCTTCAGCTCGCCCTGGCCTGGGCTCCCAGCGATATGTGCACAGTTTCCCATTGGTGGTGATGGTGATAGTGGTGGTGATGGTGTGTTGATGGTGGTGATGGTGATAGTGGTGGTGTTGGTGGTGGTGATGGTGTGGTGATGGTGGTGATGTGGTGGTGATGGTGGTGATGGAGTGGTGGTGGTGATGGTGGTGGTGATGGTGATGGTGGTGGTGGTGATGGTGGTGATGTGATGGTGATGGTGGTGATGGTGTGGTGGTGGTGATGGTGTGGTGGTGGTGGTGATGGCGTGGTGGTGGTGGTGATGGTGTGTGTGGTGGTGGTGGTGATGGTGTGGTGGTGGTGGTGATGATGGTGTGTGTGGTGGTGGTGATGGTGTGGTGGTGATGATGGTGTGTGTGGTGGTGGTGATGGTGTGTGTGGTGGTGGCGGTGATGGTGTGGTGGTGGTGGTGATGGTGTGTGTGGTGG